TCTGTGCGCCAGGGTAATTATACAAATTGCATTTCCTTCAAAGGAGGCTTCTAAATACGAGAAAGGATAAAATGAGGGCAAAACTCCCCTTGTGCCTATTAAAAAGCTCGTGTCTAGTAGAGGCGATCGGTACCCTCTGAATAAGGGATTTTGGCGGAACCTTTTTAACTGTATCTATTCATGGAAAAGCCCAGACCTCCCCGCGATCGTTATCATCTTCACAGTTCAAGTCTTATTGCAATTAACTGGGACAATTTTCAGATAACAGGCTGGAGATCGGCTAATGGGGCAGGAGAAATGGCGTGTGTGATTTCCCACAATACACGGGACTGACTCCAGTTAGGGGTTGTATTGTGTGAGCGGTATGTGACTTCAACTCGGGTGCTTTGACGGTAGCCTCCACGTATGCAGAATAAAAATGTCTCCATCCTCCCTTTCTTACTATTTGTCTTCACCTTGAAGAATTCACCCCTTAAAAATACCGGGCAGCAGGCGTCCCCTAAATAGAACAGCTGTTCCCAGGGTTGTTCGGTGTTCTGTAAGGGCCTTAAGCGAAGTGTGCCAGCTCTGAGCGCGGCACGATCCGAATTAAACCCTAGTTTGGAGATCAGAACGTATCTGAGAAATTGGCTGCAGTGCGGTAAAGCGGCAGCGGTGAATGTGACAAAGGCTTCCCCCTCCCCCATCAGCTGAGGAGTTCGGTAAGAGCTGTTCCAGGGCTCTCAGACAAGGCCTGAAAAGACACGCTTTGTACCCCCGGGCACATTTACCTGTCTCTAGTCCCTTCTTCCCCGGCCCCCTCCTCCTTGTCTCCCTCAATTCTCCCTGCCTGCTTTTTTCTTTCTTTCTTTCTTTCTTTCTTTCTTTCTTTCTTTCTTTCTTTCTTTCTTTCTTTCAGAGAAAGAAGCCAAGGCTTGCTGTTTGTAGCTGGGTTTGTTTGGAGAGAGGCAGCAATTGGTTTTTAGTACAATGGAGTAGTCTGTTCAAGAACTTCTTGGATGTTGGGAAGTGTGTGTGTGTGTGTGTGTGTGTGTGTGTGTGTGTGTGTGTGTGTGTGTGTGTAGGAGGGAGGTTTGTGCAGACACATGCAGCACTGAACGACTTCGCAATTTGTTCTTCTACATAGCGAGGAAATATTGGTTTTAGTCTCAGGCGAGGGTAGGTTATCTGGAAACATCTTTTTCTTCGGTTCGTCCATTTAACTTGCTGCTGTCTGGGCAGCCTGCTCTATTTTACACAGGGTTCCGGTGCTCCTCGGTTGCTTGTCGAGTATTTCCCGCTGATTTTATTTGTAAGGTTTTACGGCATTTCCATCACTCTGATGCTGCTGAAAAAGCTCAGCTTTTATCTCCTGCGAATTTCCTTTTCATTAAAAGAAAAGCTTGTACTTTTTGTTTCTTGTTCTGTCCTTCCCCGGCGCGGCTTTAGGAAGGCATTATTTAAAAAAAAGATTTTGAACCTGCTATAGACACACATACATAGCTCCTTTACGGCGATTCTCTCTCCTTTTGTTTTCACGGTTGGGACATAAGATATGGAAATATGTTTTCCAGCCTTCCTTCCTTCCTTCCTTCCTTCCTTCCTTCCTTCCTTCCTTCCTTCCTTCCTTCCTTCCTTCCTTCCTTCCTTCCTTCCTTCCTTCCTTCCTTCCTTCCCCAGCTACTTTGGTGACTGCTGGAGAGGAAGAGAGAGGGGGGCATTTTATGGGCTACCATAAAATGAGGATGAGACTTCACCCAAAAATATCCTCCCCGCACAAACACACGTGGGCCTTGTTGGGCAGATCTGCGATGGAAAGGCATCGCACTCTCAGGCCAGGTATGGAAAGACAGCTAGGCCTAGAGTAAGTCCCCCGGTGTGTGCTAGTGTGTGTGCCCAGAACCAAATAGGTAGCTATGGACACACCAGTGCCGGAGTGGCTGTGTGAAAGCCATCACCGGATTAGAGGCGTGCATATCTCCAGCTAGCTAAAGCGGCTGGGACCTGCCGCGGATGGAGTATATTTTAGGACACTTCTCCCCTCCTTCAGCACAGCCGGCTCCCGGCCAGCTCTGGACTGTCTCCAGCCCTCTCCTTGGTGCCGTTCCATTCTTGCCTCCCTTGGTAAGAGATCAGATGGACTGGCCTTTGTCTGACGTTCAGTTTGTACGCGGCGGGTTGCTGCCTCTTTTTATTTTTTTTTTCCCCTGGCGGCCATGTGGAGCTGGGGCAACCCGGGAAGCCGAGAGGAGCCGCATTCCTGTGGGTGCCGAGCGGCTCCAGGGCTGAGCCGCAGGCCTGACACACACCCACCCACACCCCCTTCTGCCCTACATCCAATGCACCCACACAGGCGCTTGCCCCGGAAAGTACACAGACCCTGCCGCAGCAACACACACAAAGTCCCCGCTTCGCCTCTGCCCTGCAGCGTCCTCCGGGGCACCCGATCGCTCCACGTAGCGCAACCCCAGATGTTAGGAGGCTCCGTGTCCGCTCCCCACTCCTGGTCACTTTCGCACCAATATCTCCCGGGCACTTCACCTCTGAGGATGTGCAAGTTTCCTTCCAAACACACGCGCTGCCCTCTCACATCAACCCCAGCCAGCTCAAGCGGGCATTTTCCTCGCTTGTATTCCTAGGCTCTCGAGCTCCTCAGTAAATTACCCCGAGCTGCAACCATGCCTTTGTATAGGCATGCAGGCCTCCAGACCTTACACGCTGCAGACCTGGCAGCACCGACGTAGGAATAGATCAGAAACGTGCTTCTCACATGTGTTACTTATTAAATATTTCTAGCACGCAAGGTTGCGACTGACAGACTTTAGAGTGTTCAGTTGTGGATTTCAGATTATATATATCTCTTCAGTTAAGTTACACACACACACCGCCTTGCTTTCAGTCTTTTCAGCGGAGCCTGCAGTAATGTAACAACCTGTTTTATAGGTCAGACGAGAACCGTGAAGATAGGAATTGGGTAATTTACATGAAGACTCTTCTTTTTTAAAGAGAGAACCTGTGTTGCAGCAATTAAATGTTTCTGGTCTTTGTTCTGCGGTGCCTCTGTTTACATGTGATTTATGGGGATACGCAGTATTTTATCTGCCAAAAACACGCACCTTACCGAGCCTGAGCCACATACTAAAGCAAGATTAAAGCTGTGCAATACCACACATGACTACCTGTAACCAAAGCAAAATCCCTTCAGGACACCAGAGGGTTTTCATGTCGTTTGAACGAGGAATCTCAGTCTTGGTTCAGCTGAGCACGGCCAGCCACCAGCTGACATTCTGAGCAAAGGCAACGGGAACCTGAAATATGGGTTGCACGTTATAGGATTTTCATTGTTTTCAGAAAAGCCTGTTCGGTGAATAGGATTTCAGCCTGTGCGTTTGCAATAGTGATGAGGAAAGCCTTTCTAATCCGATTCACCTGAAGGGTCAAATCTTCAGCTCGTGTAAACCGAAGTAGTTCCATTGGCTTCATGGCTGCTGCACACCCGCTGAAGACCTGGCCATAAATGTCAGATTTCTAAGAAATCTTTACGGTCCCCCGTATAATGTGCTGTGTGGGCTTTCGACTTGCGGTACCCATTGAAACATCCTTTCCCTTTCTCCACCTTATTCTTGCTGATTTCCACGAAGAACAGGCACATATTATTAACGTTTATTAACACTGACATTATCAGCATCGCCAAGAATGACTTTAGTCCTTAAAGATCATAAGTCCAAACTGCTTAAATCAATCCCAGTCTATAGGGAACCCAGGACAATGGAATCTGTAGAAGCTGCTGTAATGTACCTAGAAAACCGAACTCTCTTCCAGGTTTAATACTGCGTGGAACCAACAGTAAAGAGAAGAGAATACGCGATTTCTCATCATGAGCCTACAAGGATTAACCCCAAACGTATAACTCCTGGATTGGCTGATCCTTAGTACAGTCTTGGTTACTAAAAACAAGCAAACAAAACCACTGGTGATTTGGCCCATTCCAAACAAAGCAGGTTGGCTTGCTTCACATTCGGGATACATTAATACAAACTAATCGTGAGACTACAGCCACCAGCCCAATGAGTTAACTTTACTAGCCGTGTTAGTCAGGCTCCTTTGTTTAATTAATTACAATTAAGGCATTCTCTGCAAATTTCCTGTAGGATTCCTGATGACTTCTCCACTGAGTGAGCGCGAAAGGGAATTAGGCCTATGATGGGCTCCATGTTCACATGCTTTTTTCACGAAGGCCAGATAGGATACAAATTAAATTAGTATCTATTAATTATTAATTAATAATTAATAATAGTAATAAATAAACGCTTCTGTTCCTAGGAAGGTGACGCGCAGATGGATAAAACATCTGAGAGAAAGGAATCACTTTACTGCCAAATTTGCTTTCTTTTGGGCATGGGAGGGCATGGGAGGGAGCACAGAGGTGTGGTTTAAAAAAAACCGAGGGAGATACTGCTTGGGACTAGATGAGCTGAAAAAGGAATGGTTTCAGACATCAGCTAGCAGAAATATCATCCCCTGAATACACAACAGACTCACACTATTTGAGATTTGGACACGTAACACTGCAGACCACTGATTTGCTATTTTCTTAATTCCCGCTCTTCTTATTCCCTATGAATCAAACAGCCTTTTGTCCTTCAGAGTTTGATTTGATCGCTACTGTTCACATTTCACTTTTGTATTTTTCTCTTCCTATACCATTACTCATTGAGTGCCCCGTGAAATTACAATCGTACATTTTCAACTCAGCAACCCATTTGCAGTGCAAAAATAGGGTCTAAATAATGGCTGAATTAGCCCTACTGGACAGTTTCAGATGTAACACTCTGTAATAATTATATTGCAGGCTGGATTAGGATGCTATTATCATAATCTGGACGTTTACAATTATCTGTAATTTGCAAAGATGCGCCAGGTCTTGATTACAGCAGTTTTTTTTATCAAGCTAACCATCACTAAACAGTGACAGTAATAACAGCTAATTTTGCTGGCAATATAAGAGGTGCTGGGGTGTGCAAACAATTTCACACCTGGATGTGCTCACTCAACCAAGAATATAGAGAAAGAGCTTCTGCCCTGAGACTCAGAAAAATATTCTACACTGCTTCTGTTCAGTATAGATTTCTAGACCCTGATCATTGCTTAACAGAGTTTCACTGGGGGTAAGTTTTTATTATCTTTTTGTTTGTACTTCAGCTCACAGTTCATCTTCATCTTTTCACACTTTCGTGGGGACTTTTGCTGCGTGTGTAATTTCTGTCATCCTGTTAGGACACGGTCTCATAATAGATTCAGACTCTGTCCTTTTTTTTAGCAATGTTTCTACATAGCCGATAGAATTTGGGTTGGTTCGTGTGTTGTAACAATAGCTTTCACTCCCGAAGCGGGGGACCTATAGGGAATTTTCTTTCTAAAGCTATGTTGGCTAGTCGGCTCGATACACGTTCAGAGGGGACTTGGTTTCTATTTAGATGTGCTGGTCTCTATACTGCAAGAACGATGATAAACCGGAGTGCTAGTCTAAGAGCGCACGATATATTCATTCAATTTTTCCCCCTGCAGCCATGTATTTTGTACTCGTGTACCTCGGATTCGGCGAACGTTTTCAGAGGCAGGCTGTTGTTTAACCTTTCAGTGTAACCTAGGCGCTTTGCTTACTGGTATTGCAAGAATGGTAGAGTTTCTGATCAGGCAAGGAGCGTTTCCATCTGCAAAGAGGCACCTAAAAACTCTCCCCCCCCCCTTGCCAAAGGCTAGATTTAAAGCTCTCCCCTTTTATCTGAGAAGAGGATGGGCTCTGGAAGGAGCCATCGTTCTCTTTCTTGAGGGGACAAATTTTAATGCATCCCAAAACGTTAGAAGGAAAATATGTTGCTTATCGAATGTTATACAAACAGGCTTCTGAACTACAATTCCGTGGAACTAACCTTTTAGAAGCCATAGGGAAGGAATAATGAGAGATTTGTTCCTATCCTATCTATAGATGACGCTGTTCCATGAAACTCTCGTTTGGTGGCAGCTATATAATGTTAGATGACACTGTCTTCGCTATCATTTGTTCACCATATTATTCTCGGAAAGGCCTGCTTGTGTCATCTTATACGTCTCTATTGTTGGGTTCATTGCTAAAAAAGAAGGCTATCCTTGAAATATTCATAAAGTACAAGGGAAAAAATTATCACATTTTTCTATGCTGTACTCCACAACTCAAAGGGTATTTACAAAGCGTGAACATTTATTTTATAGTACAGCAGCACCAACTACTCCAAAATACACGAGTAAAGCTCTTCAGAGTCATCGTATGTATAGATTACACACACCGATTAAGTCAGTGGCTAGGAAAGAGTTAAGTGTTAGCCCATGCAATTAAGGGACAACTGCTGTATCTTTGGATTCTGATAGAAATGGTCTTCTTGGGAAATAGTATGTGTTAGTGGATAGGTAGGTAGGTAGGTAGGTAGGTAGGTAGATAGATAGATAGAATTTACTTATGTAATGTTTCAGATGGTTTAGGATTAACCTGCATAAATAGAAGCTAGGTAGCTGTGCACTGGATTTTCTTAAAAAGAAAAATACTGTTGGTTTAAATATATGGTAGCTTTCTCTCACGTAATTTGAATAATTCAGTGAGACCCACTAGCAGCTGTACTTCTGAAGCCTCTTCCATTCTTTTCAGCATTATAATTTTGGTTAATTTTCAATTTTAGGTCCTACGTCTCTGCAATTTGTGTATGAATAACAGAATAATTTTCCTCTTTTGTTTCGCCTTTCCTGTTCCTGAATCTAAATAAAGATGGCTTTTTAGTATTAAAAGTGGAAGAAAATTACAGGTAATTATCTTTGACGGTAAAAACGCTGTAATCAGCGGGCTACATGAAAAATTACTCTAATTATGGCTGCATTTAAGAGAATGGAAAAAAACCTTCTTGTGGATAAAAACCTTAAATTGTCCCCAATGTCTGCTTCAAATTGGATGGCACTGCAGCTGGAGGCTTTGTTCAGAATTGATCCTGGGGAGCTCTGAACCCAAAGTTTCACAGTAGGAAGGGGGAAAAAGAAAAGAAAACATTTTTCCTAATGTAACAATACGAATGGTAGAAAATGACAAGACTGATCGGTTTTAAACCATTCTGAAGACTGACTGAGCGTGGAAGTTGCTCAACAAAAAAAGGAACTGGTATGTTGGTAAGTATTCTTTGCTTTGTGTCTAATTATAGTGACTGTCCTTTTGCACGACTGTATGTAGCTGTCATTATATGGAGCACTCTGAGTATCTCTATTGACTTCTGATAAATGGCTCAGTGGTTTCAAGGTTCATAATTTGAAGGATGCCCAGGTCTCTAGCCATTAATTCTCGCAGTATGGGGCTTGTGTGACGAAAGGACTTTCATTTTCATTATTTCTGTGCTTTACACAATATAATAAAGATATAATTCGCCCTGGTCAGTGCATTGTAGATCTCTGCACCTTTCAAGCTTTGCAAAATATTACACAGCTTTAATTGTCTGTCTGTTAATCAAAAACAAAGGAGGGAACCTCTTTCTTTTCCCCCTCCTTCCTTGTGCAGGAAGCAATGCAAAGATGCAAAGCACCAAATTTTACTTTGAGAAAAACCTTAGATAAAATGACACCGTAATATTCCCCCAAATATTATAATTAGCGAAGTAACATAGGCTAAGAAATGACCGGGCGATTAGAAACATCCATGCAATCGTTACATATATATCTATTGTTGTCTAGGGTTAATTCTTTTTAAGAAAAGTCTTTTCAAGGGTTTATTGTTAGATATGTTGCTCTCTACGTCACAAATGTGTGACTCGCTAGGTATCTAAAGCGGGAGGGCTTTAATATAGAGAGAAATACAGGACACATGGACGTTTTGTGGCTTTTACTCTATATATGAAAGAAGACAAAAACATACAAAGTATATTTACAACTAAAATTCAGCAATATATACAGAAAGGTTGCTCAATATAAACGTCTCTATAGCTTAGTGAATTGGTGAGAATACCACCAATCGAGTACTGGACCTTTCAAAGCCATAGATGGTTGTTTTGGAGGGTTCCTCCTTTGCCCTTTTCCTGTTCATTTTTAGGGAATTTCGCGGGGTTGGGGAAATTAGGGAGAGAAATCTGAGGGAGAGACAGTGGTTTCTTCTTCGTTGCTGTCCATTCCATTTTGATAAAGCATGCAGTTTTTGCTTCGTGGTAGTGTTTTAGTCGTACAGTATATATTCCTTTTCAAACAGTTTTTTCCCCCAGTCTGGGTTTGGTGAATACAAATGCAGGAGCTTGAATAGCTTCCCTTACATCGTGTAATATCTTTAGCTCATTAAACAAGTAAAAACGTTGTCGTGTATACTTCTGGTGGGAAAAAGTCTGTAAAAAGTTTGCTCTGACAGTATAACTCCAAAGCGATGAGGCTGGTTCCTTAGAGTCCAAATTAAAATATCCTAAGGAGAAGTGTCTTATGTGCGCCAGCATGGGGGGGAGGGGAAAGTCTCTTTCTGTTCAGGATCAATCACTGAGGTTACTAAAAGAAAAGAAGAGAAAACAAAACAAAATCCCAACCTTGTCTTCTTGCCACACACACAAGTTCACACAGAGCCTGTGAAATTGGCACCGTTGGCAAGACAGCGGACTGCTTGCCCTGTCCAGACTAGGGCTTCTTGATAGATTATTTCTCTTGGACAATTCACATCATCTGTGGTCTCTGCATTGTGTCTTGATGTGGAGAAGAATACCAGTGAGAATAGCCAGGCATGTAGCTGTTGGGAGGCATACTGACTCCCTTGGCGGAAGCTGAAACGTCCCAGACTGGAGGGAGGGCTGGAGACCGCGGAGACAGGGCAGCGGAACCTGGCAGAGGGTCGCTCTCATGAGGATTGCTGCCCTGCTTTAGCAGCTTCTTAAACTTGGAGCGTTTGTTCTGAAACCAGATCTTCACCTGTAATCAAAAGGCAGCAGAGATTAGGCCGCTGAGGAGCACCTAGCTGACAGCAGGAAGCACCCGACGGGGGTTATTTTTTGACATAGTCCCGAGTGGAGAGGGAGATGCGGGGTCAAGCTGGCATTAACATGCTGGCATGGGAGCTAATCTGTTGTTAATAACAGGAACAGTAGAAATTGAGATGTAGCTTTTAAAATTGAGCGTTGTTTTCTTGTCCAGGCCACAAGAAGTAGAGCAATAGAATGTATCCTGTTTTAATTTCTCTCTCACCTGCTTATGTGCGTGAACATTTAAGGACATACACGCACAGGCATGTCTACATAGGTACAGATGGACATAAAATACATACATGTACACACAAGTGTCGTATTTCTTCAGTCAGTGGCCGTTTGATCATTTGGACAATTTGTGGCAAATAGAAGGAATCAGATAGTCTTGTGCTATGAGATACCATAATAGTCAAAAGCAAAACCTGAATCAAACAGTCTTCAAACTGTTCTTGTCTACATCCTTGGGAGAAGGCTGGATTAGTACAACCTCTTTACCTTTATTTTAAAATCAATTTTGGATGGACATTTGCTTTTCAGAAAAAGTAACGGATATTAACCACGTTGGGGCGCATCCTGCCTCTAGTCAAGTAACATTGCTCTAAACCGAGTTTTCCCTGCATGACGTCTGCAGGATCGGGCCCTCCATGTAACAACATGTTACAATGCTCTATCAGAGTCATTTAAAGATTCAAAATCCTGCAATCCTTGAGGCAAGGCTGCTAGCTCGGTCAGACTAGTGGTTTTCAGATTTTCAGGATCAGGAACACACTTTGTGTGTGTCAGCATAAATGCCATTTGTACAATAAGCAGATATATTTCCAACATTCATGTCCATTCAATATTTAAAAATGCTTGTGCAAGCTACTGCTGCCAATTGCAATGATAAACATTGAAATTATTTATTAAAGTCATACAGGCACACACACGTTGTAAATGCATTGACTGTATTTATCCATTTGCTTTTCTACTAACCCCTGCTTATGAAGCCTGCAATGCTTCATGCCTCTCTCGAGCTTAAATTACCAGGATAGCACAGCTACATCAACCACACTTAACTGTGGCTTAACCTGCTATAATTTTGTACACGGTTGTCTTTGATCTTCAGATCTATTATCACCTTTTGTACATTTTGCCCAAGGGCAACCACGGCATTTGAGTCAGTCATCCAGGATGAATTAACTATTGATTTTACAGGTATTTTCTAATCTGCTCTTGCTTTCTCTGTCTCTATAGGTTGCTAGGATCGGGCTTTTTATTTTTTACCTCTGCCTCAGGCCTAATGTTTTCTTGCCTTTGTGTTGTGCTCTTGTCACAATTGAACAATCTCGTGTCGGCGCAGTAATTATTTGGACGTGCCATCTGGTTGTGCCATCGAAGGATAGAATTTGATAACTAGTCGGCAGGGGCAAATGCAGATCTAGTCAGTTATTTCAGTAGTAAACCTTTTACTCTGTGCTGTGTAAGATAACTCACATTACATTAAGTATGTAGTAGGAGGGGATGTGTTACCTTTTCTCCTACCAGGTACAGAGAGCAAGACTGCTAATGCAGATCTCTCTTTGGTTGGCCTTGTACTGCATGGCCAGGGGTGCAGGGATTTGGGGTTCCCAGTAATTTACCTGTGTCTGAGTAAGTCCTAGAGAAGCTGCCAGTTCAGCTCTCTCTGGAAGTGCCAGGTACTGAGTCTGCTGAAAGCGATGATTTAAAGCCTGAAGCTGTAGACTCGAATAGATGGTTCGAGGCTTCCGTATCTTCTTCCCTTTCCCATTGAATCTGATTTCACCGTTTTCAATCACTGTCGTTTTTTGCTGATCTGCAAGCAACCGACACATTTGAAAGGTCACCACCGCAGAAAACGCAGAGAAGCCTCCTTGGCTGTTGAGTGCGCCCTGTTAATTTTGGGCATTTTTGTTACTCTTTTTACTCCCCTCCTCCCGCAACAGCCCGCATGCAACAAACAATCCCATTGCCGTTTCAGTCCCACTGCCCATAGCACGCACACGTTGTGAGTGCTCAAAGGCATCACTCAGGAATTGCTCTTATTAGAATAGTGGGAATCAACCGCCAGAAAGAAGCCGTCCCTGTGTATTGCGTGGCTCGTTTTACTTGCAAAAACATAGCGTTTGTTTAATGAATGGGCTTGCTAGATGCCTGGCCAGCATGGTGTTTACACGGCTAATTGACTTCACGTCGCCAGTTCGGTGGTCAGTGACTCTCCAGTCGGAGAGCTTTGACAACGCGTTTTTGCTCAGATGGCCACATAAACACAGTCAGCTCAAGGCTGCAGCACCAAAAACTCGTCGGGAACGATCCCCTTGCCCCGTGTCACACAGGAGCCACCAACCCTGCCTTGATCCCTGAGGATGGCACCGCTGCAACCGACAGCGTTTCTCCCCGGCCGTAACCAGACGGCTGCGGGCGCTGGGTGAAATGCACATGGCCCGTTGCACGTTCTTTAGGCAATATAGTGGAGCAGGAGGCCAGCGCTCGGGATATAGACCTGGGCAGCACAAACACACACACACACCCCCCAAGCCCCCCGCCAAAGAGCGCTCCCGGGACAGAGAGCGCGCGGGGAAAGCGAGGGAAGGCGGCGGATGTCGCGCAGGAAAGCCACACAGCCCCGCAAGCCAGGGCACACAAGCGTCCCTATAGGGGCCGTCCGCGAGGCCGAGTCTAGCTCCGGCGTGCAGCGCCCAGCGCCCGCCCGGGGCGGAGGGAGAGCCCCCAAGGTTGGCCAGCAGGCTG